CATACACACACACACACACATATATATATATATATATACTTCATCATGACCTTACAAATGCGTGTGTAGGTACATTGTGTCAGTGCACGCGGTATAGGTACTCGCGCGGATATATACTTCATCATGACCTTACAAATGCGTGTGTAGGTACATTGTGTCAGTGCACGCGGTAAAGGTACTCGCGTAGTTTGCCTGGAAATGTTGATAAAGTGTGTATTACAAATGTGTGCATAGCTATATTTTGTCGATATACATGGCAAGCATGTATATCTCTTTACACTCGTGTAGACAGGTGTTCAGTTTAACACGTACGAGTTGTCCTTGGCAAAGGCCTTTGTGTATGGCTCAGTCTGGCGAGGCATAGTGGTACAGTCTACGGTGAACTATCTGGAAACCATCTACACGGGTAGCTATTATGAAGTGATGACAAACTTACACAGGTACAGTCACCTGCACTATATTTTGATACATTGTATGCTTGGGTTGAGGGGTTATATATCACACTCTATTATGATGCATAGTATGCTTGGGTAAGAGGTATTATTTATCCAAAAGTGGTGTGAGTAAAGTGTACAGAACTATTTATGCCAGATCTGGCTGTACAGTACACATGTCTGTGCCAATCTGTTACGTTGTATGCGTTGCTGTTGCATTGTTACGTGTACGTACAACCCACCAGGGTATGTAGCCATAATGTAGGATTATAGGGTTCAGACTACAAAGGTTTTTATGGTTTCAAGGTTCAGGGCTTGAACAAAACACTATGACGAGTAGAGGCATACCTCACTTACTTCACATCTAGAGGACCTTCTCTTGAGAATCGGTAGTGGACAGACTGTGTTAGTTTACACGATCAGTATGTCTTTGGTTGTATGGTTGGGATTATGGACTTGATCCAGTCCTGCAATGTAGCAATGGTGCGTGAATGGATTATTGACGGTACATCACGATATCGCTTTTCTATATGAACTAGTTATGCATCATTGTTATAAATATCAGAATACTCACTCAAAATCAGGTCATATTCTGTCCTATTTATGGATTGTCGGGTACGGTCCGGATTCCAATGTGTTTCCGAGTGCGGCGTTACCGTTGGTTGGGAATATGTATCTGAGTTGGTACTGTACTGTATCGATGGCGTGTATGCACATTATTGCTATCTATATTAGATGACCCAAAATAATCCATAAACTGTCCTATTTATAGATTATCGGATACGACCTGGGGCATGTTCTTTCCCATATATACCAGCTAAACATTTCGTTGATATATATCAGACGACCCAAAGCTAAATCGTACCCTGTCCTATTTATAGATTATCGGATACGATCCGGATTCCAATGTATTCCCAAATGCGCGGGTGGAAGGGGTCGACGAACTGCGGAACGATATATACGAATCCGTTAAGAACAAGAAAAAGGGAGCGCTGCTAGACGCACTAAAGAATGGCATAAAAAACGTTGGCTTAGAACAGGCCGGGACGTATGTGACGGTGGGGCTGGCTGTGCTTATGGCGGTGATGCGAGCTAGGTAGTACGTGTAGAAGCACATGGATGTATGGGCATACGTGCCTATGTATGTACATTTAATTATATATTCAGATATATACATATATTTGGCTGTACAAGTCTTGTCTGCGATCGAGGCAGCGAGTACCGAACATCTCAATATAGAGTATCTCGTAGACAAAACGGGCCATTGGCCTAGAACAGGCGACAACGTACGTGACGGTGGGGTTGGGTTGGCTACTTGGCATTCCGCGAGTGAGATAGTACCGAACTTCAAGGTGTGGACGATATCTATCTATAGACGAATGACACGAAAGTGCGGTGACCTACACCAAGGTTTTGAAGTGAGTGAGGGGTAATACACATTTTTCCTATCTCTGTATATCTGCAACCGAGGCAGTACCGAACATCTCGGTGTGTAAGAATGGCATGTACTCTGCAGGCCTATGCAAGGGCTCTGCCAAGTATGCGACTACCAGCATCGATCGAGTGTATGTCCATTGGGTTTAGGGTTTACGCAATGGATAGGTTGCATCAGCCCCCCCCTTCCTTTTCTCGCAATTATGTACCATATACAGTACAAGCAAGACACGGCACACTTTGTAGAGACCAGTGCATGCAAGGGCGATATAGAATCCCCATACTCATCCGAACGTGTTGGGTAAAGGACGGCATCAGGATACGTCTTGCGGGATCTAGGTGTGTAGTTACATACCAGTCCCCACCACTGGCATTACATTCATGCGTGTTGGTCTAAGGATGGCGTCAGCATACCACTATGGTGCTTAGTAACTTGGCATTCTCCAGTGGTCTGACTGAGAATTCATAGTGAATAGCACATCTCACGCTGTACAAGTATATGTGTTCAATTACTATTACCATATCCTCAATGGTAGACATACACCAATACTGGCAACGGGCCGAACGCGCATGCTGTCTTCTACCACAGCGTGCCTGTAGGCAGGGATTGGGACTAATATAGGACGATTGTATGGGTATTTATAGTACCGAGCGAGTCTCCTTACGGATAACGGATAGTACCCATTTTGCCTGGCAGGATATATCATGTATGTTATTGGCATGCCAGGTGCCGATAGTATGGCCTAAGCCCTGAGGTGCGTGGAGATGACCTGAGACGTATGGGGATGGATAGTACCGAACATTATCAGCGGTACAGTTACATATCGAGGTGCAGTCTTTTTAGTGTTCAGCTGGGTGCTCATGACTGGATGGCGGATAGACCTATTCCTTCTGACAGGACATTGCGTAGTATGCTAATGGTATGCCAGGCGGTGGTAGCGTATGGCCTAAGACGTACGCGAATGTATATGTAGTACCGAACATTATGAAAGGTACAGCATTGTAAAATCGAGGTGCAGTCCTTTCGGGGATGCTCAGCTGGGTGTTTATAGTTGGATGACAGTAGAACCGTTTCTTTCGGACTGGATACTGCATAGTATGCTTTTGGTACGTAAGGCATCAGTAGTGTTTGGTTTAAGCTGAGGGCAGGCAATTAAAGTACCGAACATCACCGAAGGGATTACTATTTTATTGGTATACAGACTGCGGTTGGTTCTCTTAATCGGAGGCCATGTGTACTGAACATACATGACTGGATACTAATAAAGAGCATGATTTAAACTTTGTCAGCCTCCTGCAATTAAAACACAAAATGGGCTGGTTTTTGTGCGATACAAAGTTCGAAATATTCATAATCTAAAGAGAAACAACACAAATGGAGTACCTAATGTTCGCTTGTAAGGTCGTGCTACATAAACTGATTGTTATATGTCCTGCCAGTATATACTATTGATTGTTATATGTCCTGCCAGTATATACTATTGATTGCTATATGTCCTGCCAGTATATACTATTGATTGTTATATGTCCTGCCAGTATATACTATTGATTGTTATATGCCCTGCCAGTATATACTATTGATTGTTATATGTCCTGCCAGTATATACTATTGATTGTTATATGTCCTGCCAGTATATACTATCGCCCTGTGTCCTAGCAGTTTCAGTCGTTCTGTGTTTAATTTTATTAACTGCCCAGTGCGCAAACATAGTGTGTGCGGCAGCTTAAACCCTAAATCATCAAGGCCGGGAATAAAGTGACCGTATACGAAATGTAAATATAAAT